AACAATTGCTTGTCATTGAGGAACACAACACATGACGGGGATATCTCCTAAATTATCTTTAGAGCCATCACCATAATCGGAACGTCCTTAAGATTGTTCGAAGGGAAAAATCATGTCAAAATTGGCACCTTTATTTTGTCGTGTGAACCTGGCATTAGCTTAAAATGTTGGCATTCACCCCCTTTTTTGCTTATTTATTTTTTTTACTGGATGAATTTGAATTAAACTCTTAAAATAATCATTGGTTGTACATCTACAGCTGACACACTATTGGTTTAACTCAATTCTACAGTAATTGTAAAAAATTTAAAGTTGTAGTAGCTGAGAGTCATTGGGAACACATGTTCTGATTGTGACAAGTAGTACAGCATAAAGCATATTTTCAAGGTTGGACCAAAACAGTTTCACTGCCATCACATCTTTTTAAATTAGATGATCTGAGGCTAAAACTGACATCAACGGTGTCGGGTGACATACGTTCCCTCAGTGCTAATTTTTTTTTTACCTGAAGTTTGTTTTGTTCTGATGTACTATTTAAAAAATGAAGTGAGCTTTGTTTCCTTTAGCAAGTTGTTCTTAAGCTAAGTGGCTCTTGTTACCTACAGTTTCATCACTCAGTATTGCTGCCATGACACCTGGAAACAGTAGTTCATTGATCAGTGGTTGGTAAACCCAACAGTCCTGAAATCTGGTGGGAAAAGTCTCCTATTTAAGTGCAATTTAGAAATAATTCCTAGTTATTGTGCGAAAATAAGCTTTGTTTAATGATGAAATGGCTCTGTCTGCTGAAAACAAGCTCTCTCATCAATAGTTGTATAAGTAGTTATTTTAAGTTAACATCATCCAATTCTGAACATTTGCTTTAAATTTATCTTAAAGCTGCCATCCTTTTCCCTATTATGACATATTCATGGGAATGCATTAAAGACGTAGTGGTACTGTAATTACTTGCATGTCGCAAGGAGTTTTTTTATTTTTGCTTTTTTCACTGATCACAAACCATCAATGTGATTCTGTATCAGTATGGCAGAACTCCGTGCACACACAGCTCGGGTGATTGTGACTGTGAGGAGTGATGGGGTCGATGGGGGGTGAGCGGTATCCATCAGACACCACATGGACTGAGTGCCACCTGGCACCGTCACAGATCAGAATCAGCCATGCTGGAATGGAGGCTCGTGGTTGTCTAGCAAGAAACTGACCTTTAAAAAATGATTAACTCTGACACGACGAGCTCTGCTGTTGTGCAGCTCGTATAACTCTGACTGTGGGCTCGCTTCTCTCAATCGCAACGAATTTTTATCATTTATCAGACTTGTTGCTTTATTTGTTTTGTTGGCTTATATTCCTAAATCCTCAGTTTTCTACCCATTTTTCTGCATCCTTGGCCCAGTTCAGATTGACTAAGCGTTTTGTACTTGGCGAAGCAAACAAACATATAACAATGAATATAAATCATTTAAATATAAAAAAGAAGCCTGAAATCTTTCTTCTGTTCTTGTTCCATTTTGATTTATACACCCCATTCCTATTGCTTGCCTGGTGTTTACCTGGGCTAAATTTCAGCTAGCTCCTTCACATTGATAGCCTGATATAAATCTGCACTGTAAATCCCTGGCAGCATCGTGGAGAGCTCGCTTTCTAATTCTGCCTCCTTTGATTGCCTCTGTCTGTCCTGACTGGCTTTTTGTTCTTTCTGCTTTTACTTCAAAGTCCTCCACATTTTGCCCCTAAAATTGCCACTGTATTTGTTTTTGAGAGAGCTCAAACAATCAAGTGTTGGTTGTTTGTTTTAATTTCGTTCGAACAGCGTATCACTTCCTTTTTTTCTCTTGACTGAACTTTCTGAGAGTTAAACCACATCATGTAAATCAACTTGGTTTGGTTTCTTGACGCCATCTTTAGCTTGGCGACTCCCTCAGGGCATCGTGCTGATCTTCACCTTTGCTGGGATTTAAAATAAGTTTCAGACCATRCGTTGTTTTTTCCCCCTTTATAAAATTTCGTAATCGACGTGGGGCACAGTTATTTTAAGAAGACAAAGAATAAATTTCATCGGCTGTGGTGGTTGTGTATTGTTGACACAACTCCGATCCCGGTCCGTCTGCACGGGGTTGTTTGGTCGAGTGCTGGCTTAAACTGTTGACGCCTTCTTCCAAAATCCTACCTAAAAGCCTGGTCACCATGTTGTTTATTTGTTTTGTTTTTATCCCAATTAGTTTCAAACCTGAACCTTTTCTATTCTCTTTACTTTGCTGCTTTGAAATGAATACTTGACTTTTTCTTTACTCCTTAAGAGGTGAAATCAGTTTAGGAAAATGGAATTTAAAGAAAAGTTATCCTTAACATCCATTAGACTTTCTACATTTTGCCATTCTTGAATAGAGAAGCCTATAAAGAGAAACTTTTGGGCCAAAATACAAGTGTGAAACACAAGGTTGATTAATTTGAAAGGTTTTTTGAAAGGCAAAATCTGGTATGGAGAAAAAGTGCAGTTTTTAAAACACCTTTAAGCTGGAAATGTGTTTAACTTTTTTTGTGATGTCAGCATAACAAGCAAATATTTACTTATGTACTTATTTCAATGAAATAAGTCAAAGTTACACAGCTTGGAATGAATTTGCTCATCAATAGAAGTGCTGCTTACTCTCCAGTTTAAACATTCAAAACCAAAAATCCAAAAATGTTATTTTTTCCAATTTTTAATAGTACTTCTTAAAGATATTTATTACCAAAGCACCTCTGTTGTTTTTTGAAACATTATCCAGGTATACAGTATGTTTTTCTCCTATGATTTGTTTAAGATAATAAGTCTAAATTTCAAGCTTGTTCCTTTTCAAAACTGCTGTTTTCCATTAAGGGATTAACAGAGCTGATTAGAAAGGCTTATTCAGTTCATTTAATTCAATCAATTAATTAGTTTTCTACATGTGATTGCTACGATTGTGTTCTGGGGCTGCTTAGAATCTGGACTTGTTTCATTTCATTTGGGACCTCTTTACCTCCACCCTTCTGTTCTCTCAAATTCCTCCTATTCGTTCTAATTTTAATCACTCTTTTTATCTTACTTTATTTCTGTAATGGATTTAAATATCTCCTTTTCCATTTTTTCCATTCTCCTTTGTCTAAATGGAATCATTTGGTACCACCTATCCTCTTTCTGCCTTCAGTCCTCGTCAGTTTGTCTTTCCTCACCCATCCTTCCCTGATCTCAATCTCTCTCCTGAGGTGATTTGGGTGTAGCCAATCATCTATCTTCCACTTCTCCATCAGTCTCTCTTCTCTGCCTCTTGAGATCTCTCACAAGCCTTATTTTCATCCTATATTCGCCCGTCTGACTCTTGATTGAACCTTTTCAGTCTTTTAGATTCCCAGTCAACGCCCTGTCTTATCCCCCACCCCCACAGCCCTTCTCAATACCACTTACTGCCTAATGCCTGTTTTATGTTACCTAAGGGAAAAAACAAAGAATGTTCAAATTGGTGCCAAACTGAGTAAGGAAAAAAAAATACAACAAGCTGTGGCTGTCTCTGCTCAGCCAGCTGGCCAACCCTTGTCTGATCATTTCATCCTTTCTCACTGTTTCAGTCACTGTTGTGCTGTAGCAGTGACCCCAAACATAAATGTTTGATCAGGCTGAGATTGTAAATTCAGAGGCAGTAAACTCCAAGTGTGCACAGACATAATTCATGAACAAGGAAGTGGCCTTTTAGATGTAACTACACCAAATGGCTAGGAGCCACACGAGCCATTTTGAGCCTAAAACTTGTCCTCATTCAGATGTTTGTACTGCTTTTTTTTTGGTTTGAATCATTTAAAGTGGACACATCRTGCTTTTAAATCCTTCACGTTTAAATCATTCAGTTTTGGTGTATATAAAGTGGATCCCTATTGTAACTACACAGGCCCCTCTTTCACCACTTTTTCTGAAGTGCGTCTCAGATCAACTCATTTTGAGGCTGCCTTTTTAAATGCAAATGAGGTGCATGACACTCCGCCCCAATCCAGCTTCCAGACTGGTTCATTCTAGTTCGATAGAGGGGTTTATGACTATATAACTGCGCAGAAACGTTTTATTTACAAATGAATTAAAGGATGTCAGCAAGAGAAGAGTTGCCCATGTTAGAGCCAGAGTCGGAGTGAGAGTCTGACCCAGAAAATGTTATTAGAAAAGCTAATGGGATCTTCTAAAATGGACCAAGACTGTTTAAAAGTGTGAGAGAGAGGGACTGCAGTTAATTGAGAATGGAGTTCGTAATGATAGGCTGGGGTGCTGATCTATTTCTTCTCCCTGGGATTACCTACCAAGATATTGTGAACTACTTGATATTTCTGCCAAGTCGCTCTGAAGCCATTCCAAGGAACCCCACAGCCAGATAAGTTATAGATGGCTGTGGAACGTTGAAGTGAAGGTGATTGGAGTTCTATTAAGTGTGTGCTGAGATGCACTTAAATGCTTTGCCGATACTGAACACTGGATAAATCAACAACTCTTGACAGAAACGGCTGAAAATCAACTGTTTGCATCTAAGTGCACTTATATTAGAATTCAGTATTCAGCTGTTTACATCTCCAATAAGTCAGATCAAAGGGTCTGTACCTTTAAATTAAAATGAGATTTAAGTTATTAAAAGATCTTTCTAACATGTTTTAAAGGCTCTTCAAATTTGACATTTGGCAACAACGTTCATCCGTCTTGCACTCATTCACGGTCATGGACGTTTCACCTATAGCATTTTGTTGTGGCATGGTGATAAATTATTGAGCCGTCTCTTTTTTTACTGTGTTCATCCTTCACATGGATAAGCGATGGCTCAAGGGATGGGTGAGCAGTTTCAGCGAAGTGTCATGGTGTAACTGATAAATATTTAAGTGGTTAAAAGCTTTTTTAGATGGCGATAATGAAAGATGACCTGCGGTTGGATACTAAAAGATAATAAAAAACGACCCGCTAAGTCGCTTCTAATTGTGTTACAATGGTGTAGTGTGGTTTGACTGACCTGTAGATGAGCGTCTCATCGGCGGTGCAGTTGTACTGTATCTGATACATCCAGACAGCGTAAGCTTCAGACAAACGTCCCAAATCCCATCGGACCTGAGCTGAAGTGGATGTTACTCCTTGTACTCCAACCAGCCTGCTCTCCTCCTCGCCTCCTTCGTCATCCTCCATGCTTCCTCTGTCAGCCCTGTCCCCTTCAGCTGACTTTCCACTGTCACCTTCATTAGTTTCCATTTCTCTCCTGCTTCCATCATCCGCCTCTCCTCCTCGTCCTGCGCCGCCGTTAATCCCTCCGTTTTTCCCCGTGCTAATATCCGATGAACCCGGGTCGGTCCGTAAAATCCCACTGGTCGCGTTCCTGGCATTCTTGGCATTAACGCTGTTAACCCCGGTGCTTCCAGTAACCCCACCTCGATGAGGCAGTGGGATTATTTTTAAGTCCACAGTGGCGGTAGCTTCACCCGCCGCATTGATCGCAATACATGTGTACGCCCCGTCGTCCCGGGCTACAGTCACCAAGAGATCCAAGGTCCCGTTGCTGAAGGAGCTGGTCCTGGATGAGTTCGCAACAATTCGATCATCCGGTGAAACCCAGTGGACCACCGGCTCAGGGTCTCCGATGGCACGGCATTTAAGTGTGGCACGTTGACCCTCCAGCACCCACAGYTTGTGTGTGTGACGGGTGATGAGAGGTGGTTCGCAGGTAAACTCCTCCTCAGGAATCGACCAGAAATACCTGAGAGAAACGAACAAAAAAATAAAACAGTGAGAGGAAGACAGTTTACTGCCTGAGGAGTAGATTTAGGAAATTATTAATGTTTTTAAACTAAAGATGAAGGCAGTTTTACTAATCGTGTAAATGTCACGCAACATTCTGTACAATTATAATGCAACATTCATGAAAATGGAACAAAGTTAAGAGAAATTATTGGCAGATGACAGAACCAGATGTTCTTTGTCCTTTCCAGTCTTTGCATATTTTTCAGCAGTGATAAACCATATGTACATGATTTTATTTAATGTTCAAAACACTGTCAAACTTTTCAGGTTTTCTAATGTTCGTCTGTGTAAGAACTCGCAGAAGAAACTGACGAGCTTTGGCTAATTTGACGCATCAGATTAGAAAGGTCAAAAGAGGGCCAAAATTCAAAACTTGGTCCAAGCCAAGAGCCAATTTCTGTCAATATTTGTTGAAAAATGTTTTATAATGAATTATCCATCCATCCATCCATCCATTTTCTTCCGCCTATCCGGGGTCGGGTCGCGGGGGCAGCAGCTTCAGAAGGGAGGCCCAGACCTCCCTCTCCCCAGCCACTTCTTATAAAAATGTAAAGGACCCTTTCCAATTTTTGCTTTGTGACATTTAGAACAGGGATAACTTAAAGAAAAAAAGAATAAATTAAACTCCTCACTAGCATTCATTTATTTTGTCTTACTCTACCAAAAACTGATTTATTGTATCTTAGAGATGCATTTTGTCACAGTCCAGAAAATTGGGTTAAAAAGAAAACCCTCTCTAAGAACCTAATTATTTGACTTTTAAAATAATAGAAGTCAGAAATGCACTAAACCCAGTGACAAAAAGAGAAATCATGAGACCATTTCACATTTAAAGTATTACTCTTTGGGTCACATTAAATGTTAATGAGGTCTACTGCCTGAATAAAGGCAAATTATTTCCCAGACTCACCTTCCAGCCAGGTGTGCAGGAGTGGCACACGTTTCCATATCGTCACTTCGTATAAGTCGTCTTAACCAAAGCAGCTCACAGTTGCAGTGGAGCGGGTTCCCCCCAAAGTTTAAGCTTATGACGGCATTATAGGGTGTAGGACTTATTGCTCCTGTCTGCGACCTGACACCAAAAAGAAAAAAGATGAGCTTACAACATTTGTACCTCCCTATAGACTCACATGCTACTTATCTCTTACAGTTTGCTAACCTATGTACAGTCAATGCAAAAGGTAAGCACAAAAAATATATATTATAACGAGGTATTCAATACCAAATCTTAGCTCAGCATCTGGAAAATTAACGAAGTTATAGAAAGTTTTGTTCATTATGGTTGAATAGGTTTAGCACCCATCTTATATTAAGTTGACTCTAAATAATCAGTTTTAAATGTATATCCAAGGGTCACTTTCTAAAAGTTTCAGTAAAATCCATTTGTTGGATCAAGAGGTATTTTAGCTTGCAAATATACACAAAAACACGATTGCCCACCCAGTGGAGCAATAAAATGCAACACAACTCGCACATTTCTAAAGTAGCATTGAATTATGTTAAAACACCACGAAGATTTTAAAAATGCTGCTATTTAACAAGGCTGCATACAGAGAGAAAGCCCAAGTGACTACATGTAAATCAGTGTTGTAAAGACGTCTACAGTATGTACAACACCAACTATAATTGGGAAAATGTATAAAACCAAAGAGGAAAGCAGCTAAGTGTACAGCAGGCAAGACTTAAGAGCAATGTTCAAATTGTTTAACAATTAAAGTCAAATTAAATGTAAGTGCAAATGTACCTGCAACAAAATGAACTTAGTCAGAATGGCAACGGTTCACAGTTGGTAAATATAACCAACTCTTTGTCATTATCTTAAAATCGAATAGACGTGTTGAATATGCAAATGTGGTTGGTAAAAGAGCAGATTAAGTGATTAAACAAAGTGTCAAATGGTATAGAGAGGTTCTGCAATAAGAATATATCCCTGTTTTTGTAGCAGATCAACAAAGATTTAAAAGCACATTTTTGGGGCTCAGTATTCTCTCCCTCCTGTAATGTTTCCACTAAGCCACTTCTTAAAGAACCTGAAAATCTTAAGAGCTACCTTGCAAAGAGCGGATCAGGAGGCAGAGTTCGGAGCCTGTTGGAGGTCATATCCAGCCGCGCCAGCTTATACAGCTCCCCGAACACTCCTTCTGCTATGTGGTCTATTAAATTATGGTCCAGGTTCAGAGTGTGGAGACTGGCCATGTTCTGAATGGACTCCCACGGTACCCTGCAGGAAGAAAACATATATTTAGAACGATTCATAGGAGATTCTTTTTATTAGTCATCTCTGTCAGGTCATGTTCTTAGTTTGACACATGTACCTGTGATCAGTGCTCTTGTAGGTTTATTGATGCAGAGTATAGGGATGTTGACATYGTCAGCAGCGGCTGCCATTTTCTTCCTGAACTGCTGTGACTGGATTGTGCAACGCTGCACTGAGCATTCACTTATTTGCTCCTGTTTCTATGAATTTCAACAAACCGAGCTGCCATCAGGTAGCAGACTCGTAAGTTTTTCGTTTGTCGATGGGTTTTGAAGAGCCACTTCATTGAAAAGTTTTTCTACTGACCCCTAAATAGGTAAGCTGACGTGAAGAACATTATTTCATTTGCCTTTTTTCTAAACTTGAGTATGATCTGAAACATTGAAGTATGTATTTTTTGTTGCTCTGGAATAGCCTATATTAGTAAAGAAAGTTGACGCTCGTTTTCGTCATTGTTTACAAAACAAATGTTCATATGGTTTTAAAATGGTTTTTCATTTCCTTGTTTTCCAAGAGCCTTCTAACATTATGCTATACATTTGAGCTACTTTGACACTGGATTTTGTTTTTAGATTTTTAGAGTACAAGAGCTTCCTACAAAAACCAGAATGTGAAACATTTTTTAAAATTTCATAGAAATATCTTGAACATTAACAAAGTTACGAGAAAATGTGGACCGTATAACAAAATGGTCACAAAGACCTGATTGGTTCAGCTCTGAATTGTAACAGAAATCCTAAGCTTGATCACACCGAAGCAAACATCCATAACTTTCATACTTGAGATTACCACATGACGTTGGTGATATTCTAATTTTCTTTTTAAATGCACTGTTTGACTTGATATTGGTCTGGGGAAAATAAATCTTATCCACATCCCTACAGAGGACCACTATAGTTCATTTTTATATTTTATTTTTTATTTTTTTGTTGTAATAAAGAATGTTTAAGTTTAGGAGAAAGGTGGCATTAAACATTCTTTCAATTTTTGTCTTGTTCTATCTTCACAACACCTTAGTTTTTAGTGTTTACTGCCAAAAAAATTGCTCTCAGATTGGTAACAAAAATTAACATGAAAATTTAACATGGTTTAAATTTGGTTCCTTGGAAAATATTGTGGAAATTTGTATTGAGCACATATTAAACTAACAAATACATTAAAAGTAATGATCCTCAACAATTAGAGGGTGGAAATGTCTTGCTCTAAAAGCAAAACCAGTTTTTGTTCCTCTTTAGACTCTGATAGCTTTACTATGATTACCATCTTTCTGTACAGCAAATCTCTCTGGGGAAAGGTTGTGGGAGAAAAATAATTATGCACATTATTCTTGTGATTTGTGTTGTGGGAAAAGTCAATAATTGAGATTGTAGCTTTTATCTCATTGTCCGACTTGTTGCACCTAAAACCTTACTTTGTTTTTATTTTATTGTAACATAAATGCTAAACTGAAGTCTTGATCAGCTTCTGCTCAGGGGAAAACTTTGCCAGAAATAGTTCAGATGATTTATTCTGCAACATAGCAGTTCGTTCTTGGTTTACCTGAAAGTAAAACACTGAAAAAAATGAACCAACGTGTTGGGTAACAAATGTTTTATAAGGTTCACCTCCAACCTCAATAAGTCCTTTGGCGGTTATATACTTTTTTCTTGCACCGTGTGCCCTGTTTCCACTGCATTATTAACCGTGACAAAATGTGACACCAACTCTTTGACACTCGGAATAGACTCTTCAATAACCATTAGAAACAGAAACTGCTCTTCTGTGCATCACTGAAATTCTGCACTTTTCTCAAGATGTGATGGAGGCTGGAGAAAGGCCAAAGTGTTTCTGTTCAGGAGACAATTGAAACATCTTCATCAGAATTGACAGCCAAATGCTGCTGAATCCATCTGCATTGTGTGCCCATATGAAAAGGAGAGACTAATTATTCTTCAGTCTTTCTATTTAGTCTCTAATAATAGTCTTGCTGTAAGAGTCTCCATTGTCACATAAACGAGATGTGCAAAATGAACCATATACAATATATTCAGCAATATATTGTCGGCAATAACAGTTATTCACAGAGGAGTGAGCTTGAGAATGACCTCATAGGGTCTTAACCAAATTGAAGTGAAAGAAATTATAACATCTTCAGAAACGATAGTTTTCTGAGCTTTTAGTTCCAGCATCAGCATTTTTAAAGTTTTTTTTATCATCTTTGGTAGCTTAGACAAACCTGTACTTAGGCCTGTCATAACAACAAATTTGTGAAATTATCTGAAATTATTGCAATAATTTCAATTATCGCGATAATTGATGGTATTGTTTAGAGACCAAAATAATGCTACCCCCATAAAACAACTATGGTCACCCTCACGATGCTTACCAAATTTCCAAAATTTATGTAGTGAAAAAAAAATCTTATGGAACTTATGGCAAACCCAAGGACTGGAACGGTGCCCCAAGGGCGTCCTGAGGCATTGCCAGCTGAAAGAAGGCATCTAGCTAAACGCCTGCTCATGGGGCTCTCATGCTACAGAGGTTATGAGACCATGCACCTTTCAAATACCTACACCAGAGTTCAGAGTTCCTTCCTATGCTAAGGAGTAGAAAAGAGGGAGATGCAAAGAAAACAAACAAGCAGGTAAATGAAAACTTCCAACCTCATTTATATTTATAGTGCGACTGATTTAATGCTTATCGCAAAAGACCTCTGTTCACTACATTACCGTTGTGCTTTGAGGTTTTTGGACCTAGCATGCCTGAGCTTGAGACTTGAGTCCTTACCTCCTGAGGTTATTGTAGGACAGGTCAAGGTCTTCTAGGGTGAGCAAGAAGTCATCAAAAGCCTCAATGGAGACTTTAACCAGCTGGTTGTTGTTGACGATCAGGTGTTGTAGGTTGATCAAACCTGAAAGGTCCTTGGGTCCAAGTGTTGTTAAGCGGTTACCTAAGACATGAAAAGGATATATTTTCCCACTTAAGTAAGTCTAATATGAGCAATCTTAGCCAGTAGACATTGGTACAAAGGTTGTTGCTCACCGTCTAAATGCAAAGAACGCAAACTCTCCAAGTCCGAGAAGGCCATGGGTCGAATGAGGTGGATTGTGTTTCTGGACAGAGTCAAATCAACCAGTCCAGTCATGTTGACAAAGTCATTCCCGCCCACTTCTGTTATAAAGTTGTCAGCCAGCCTCAGCTCGACCGTCCTCCGGTCGACGTGTGGCGGCACAAACAGGAGGCCCTTATCGGCGCACAGTGTGCTGAGCGACTCTGAAAGGTTTCGGCACACGCAGTGGAAAGGACAGGCCGAAACTACACCCCACGTCTCCCCTGCTCCTATCAGAGAAGGCAGCAGGCAGCATGTGACCAGCGTCAGCCAATGGAACACTGGGAAAGTGACTGAGTCGGGCAGGGTCCTCCTGGACGTCCTCGGACAGGCACAGTGGTAGAGGTGGGATGAGGAGGGCAAAGATGAGATGAGAAATGAGGGAAGAGAGAGAGAGTGGATGGATGAAGGAAAGAGTGAGGAGATGGTGAATCCCTCTGCTCCCTGTTGAGGGTGGAGGTGTGTGCGGGGCAGGTGCGTTTGTCTGCGGGGATGGAGGGGTGGGGGGACGAGCATGGTAGATCGCCTGGCTATCCACAGACCTGAAGAAACAATGAAAAAAAATTAGAAACAATGGTCATTGTTTGATAAAGTAAGACATCTGAGTGAAGTTAAAGGATGCCTGGTTTTTCTATTCCCACGATCAGACAGAACTGGAACAAAGGCTTTTGCTGCACAAACATCAATGCCTGTGTGAGAACCACTCTGCACTAATGCCTACTTGGTTCCTCATATAGTAGCATCCAAAATCTATATTTGAAATGGTACCGCCATGTAACTACTGTTCACTACTGTGCAAAGGCCTAGTTTTTTTTTATTTCCTCTAAAGGAATCAGACTTTCCTGTAATATTTCAAAACAGTCTTAATCAATCTGTTTGTTTGTTTTTACCTTTTTTTTACCTTTCAGACTTCAGCTGCTTTTAACTCATTTCCAGTCCAGTCAGACTGTGCTGTCGAATCGGTTCTTAAACTCTAACCTATAAATCATTAAGGAATAAAAGGGCCACTTAACTCAAGGATGGGACAATTCTTGTCAAAATAACAGGACTTGGCAAAAAGAAAGAAAACTGGTTCTTAGGCATTTAGTTACGGCTCCCATTTAAAGTTTATTCTTTATTCTTACCATTAAATTATTTTAAAGAAATATGAAATAGAGTACAGTTTGACAGACAAAACTTGACTTAACATTGGAKCAACTGATGAAGCATCACTTAAGTTCTTTGTCAGATTTTTTTTTTAAAAAGTGTGGCTTAGACTGTATTTATGCATGTATATTGTGAGAAATTAAACCCCAAAAATTATCCATAAAGTTAAGAATAGTTATATTATACAGGGGAGTAAATTGTAACATTTATTTTCTAATGTACTACTGCAATAAGTTTCAATATTTCTTTTAAATATTGTATTGCTTGGAATAAATCACTTTAATTTCTCCCTCTTGCTGTAAATTGTGCGCAGAGAAGCATATAATCACTAGTAGTTGTCTTTTTCACACCAGAGTTCGAGGAGGAAAACTCTGTTTTTGTTAATCGCTGAGATGACAAAAGGATGTTGGTTGCATGTTATCATGCTCAAAAGTACATCTGACTAATTGAACATCCGTCTTCTGCTCTTGGAGTGGATTGTTTTCAGTGACGTGTGGAAGCAGTCCGCTGTCACAAACAAGGGTGTGTCCCCAAATAATCTGTCTCCCCACCAGAGGGTACACTGCAAAGGCTAAAATATCAAGTCTGTATGAAATTTAGTAGAATTAAAGCTGTGGATTAAATTTTTTATGTTTTTATGCTAAAAAATGGGTCGATTTGTACTCAAAGTGCAATTTTACCTGAATAAATTTGATAAATACTACTCATTGGTTATCGTGGGTTTTTTAGGCCTGACACTTCTTTTGCCCTTCACTTGTTCACTGGATGGGCAGATGGTGATAAAAATTCCAAAGAAAGACTTTTAGAAAGCCTGTTGGGCTATTGTTTGAGACCGCTTTAAAGGGGCAATATCATGTAAAATCAACTTTTTGAGTTTTATATCATGTTATAATGTTATACACTCATAAAAAACATGCCCAAAGCCTTGCTTTAACTCATTCGTGCATGTTTGAGAAATCCTGCAGCGTTTTTAGGAAGCCATGCTGAGGAGCAAAACGACAGGTGGGGACCAGAAACGCCTTTTTGTACCAGAATCGCCCCTGGGACGTGTCTTTAAGCCGAACTTCCTCATGGCAGAGCGCACCCCTGCCCCCTACCCACACACCCCGCCCGTGACTCCTGTAGGCTCTCGGGTGAAAGTGAAAGTGAAACTTAAACTGTCTGCTGCACTCTCAACATTAGGTCTCACTCAGTGAAGCTCTTTTCAGATTAAAAATACCTTTGAGGAAATGTATTTTCAGATGCCAAGTAAACTGCATCATGGTAGCCCCCCACCCCCGCGAGCGCAACCGATGACACCCACCCCACCCCCGCACCGAAATGGGCGAGACAGAAGCGGAAGGTGGTCCTTAAAGAGACAGAGGCCAATTTCAAGGCGTTTAGAAGAGGAAGTGATGAAGATAAATTTATTTTCTATTTAAACATAAAAACAGCATTTTAATAACAGGTAAAGCTGACATAGATACTTTATTATGGTATAGTATTTAAATGTATGCCTGTGAAACACATAATATTGCCCTTTTAAAGGACTGCAGGACAGTCTATGTCCTTAAGTTTTAAAACTTCTGCAGTGCACAAACGGTGCACACTTCTTCGATACTAAGTCACTGCCTAGCAGCATCCCAGAAGACTGAACACAGCCAGTCCATGTGGTAACAGTTACCTAGAAACTTGTAAGCGGGGATTAAAGCGATGTTATATCACTGAACCCTTTCCTTAAGACTCTGGGCCCGAAGAAGTGGGTCACAGGTCCGTCATCCCTGACTCTGCAGCAGGGCTGGAGGTCTCATTAGGCCTTGACGCAGTCAAACAAGTATGAAAATCCTCCTGCAAATCTCAGTTCTGCATTAAAAYCTGTCTCTAAATGCACAAGTGACTTGGTGATTAGGCACAAATAATAAAAAATTAAAAAAGTGAGTCACTGCCACTCATCGGCAGTTGTTATGGCAACTGTAACCTGGATACAGAGAGTGACAGGGATGGTTGTGAACAGTCACACTTGTGGTGAAAGTGGGGATGACACGGTGAGTCAGGAAGACGAACGGGCCTCTCTGAAGGAGGATGGCGTGTTTCTACGTGGCGCCGTATAGAATGTGGGATTATAAATTGATGCACGGTTTAATACATGCAGCCTAATACTTTGAGCAACAACCAGGCATAACCATACATCATCCTGACTGTAACACTTTGACACAAATTGCTACCTAATAGTTTCCATTTGATTCCAGCTTTGCTTTTTGTGTGAAACTAGAAGAGCGTTTGCCATCTATCTCAGAAGTTGAAGCAGTGTTGATGTGAAATAGGAAGTTTTTTTTTCTTTCCTTCTGTAGTAAACCTGGCTACTCTGTCCCAATTTTTTTTTGGAATCCTTCTTTGGAACATGTATAAAAAAATAAAGTAGGCAAAGTCATATATTATATATCACTATCAGGCTCCTAAATATTTATACTTAAAGTAGACATATGGTTTTAAATCCTTCTTTTTCGCATTTAAATCTTTGTTGTTGTCTATATAAAGTGGAACTGCAATGCTTTGGTTTGAATTTCTCCTTATTGCAACTCCACAAGCCCCGCCCCTTTTCTGGGGTGTGTCTCTGATCAATTTGTTTTAAGGCTGTCTCTTCAAATTCAAACAAGGCGTTTCACACACAACACCTCCAGCTTCCAGAGGTGTTCATTCTAGTTTGATAGAGGGGTTTACGACTATATAGACATTTTTATTTACAAGTTAATTAAAAGATGTCAACAAGGGAAGACTTGTCCATCCAGCCTTACATGTTGGAGTCTGACCCAGAGCCAGAGGAGAATGAAGATCAACAAATTGTAGTTGTATGTTCAGACCTTATTTAAAATTTCCATCTCATCTACGATACAATAAAAAGGAAAAAAAATTGTATAAAAAAAATTGGCCAGGATTACGATACGATAGTTCAGAAAATGTCATAAAAATAGAGAAAACTAAACCAAATAGAATATAAAAATAGTTACACAGCACAAGGAGAAACTAAATTCAAAATTTCTGCACTCTTAGAGACTCAAAGTACTCATCAAAATGTATTTAACATCTTTTTTTCATACGTCACCTTTAAAGAGGAGCAAAATGGGTAGTGTGGTTAGATGGTAGAAAAAGACTACATGATGTGGAAAATGTATGAACTTCTTTACTTATTTGGTACGTTTAACTGTAAGACATTAGTTATTTAACGAAAACAAAGTGGAAAGAGCCAAAACGGTCGTGTTTATGCACATTTAATAGGACATTAGTGGAGAATGGCGACTCGTGTGTGACGACRAATGTACTTTTTCACATTTCACTACGAAGTCATTAGTGTTTCTCTGAACACCAAGAGACATTTGTGCTAGTTAAAACTTGGCACCTTAAATAAAAAAATGTGCACTATCTTAACAGTTGTGCTACATGTAGTTATTTCCTTATGTGTGGTGTCAGCAGTTTGTAGGGGGGAATGCCTGGAGCAGAAGAGGGTGGGTGTTTGTGCGTGGGACAAACTTCTGAATGCCTGCAGTGACAGCTCGTCCTCAGGGCAGTCAGTGTTGGACGTCTCCTGAGCCCCTGCAGAGGCATGAATATCAATGTTTAAAAAAAACAACACACACACACACA